ACAAGGTGGAGACATGTAGACATATATTTCTTCTCCTCTGTCCAGCTTTCGCTACGTTGAGGTTGAAACAACTCGGTTTCCATACCTTCTACGAACCCGGCGAATTGGTAGTATCGCTGTAAGCCTCCACAACAACTTTGGCTCAAACCGGTTCGTTGGTACATGGGTGTTTTTTGGAGTTATATATTTCAGCTGTTCGCATAATCACGCTCCTTTAAACCCTATCAGATTTTTACTTTATAGTAGCTAATTTACGCATCCATGAAGTTATCGAAACTCTTAACACAAAACAAACTACAAGATACAAATCTGGTTCCCATTTACGCCATCTTAAAAAATTACTTTAAATTAAACCATGAAGGAGTTATATGTAAGTAATTATGTAACTATCTTTCAGAGCGGTGATGCTGTTAAAGTGGAAGTGGATCCAAAGAGCCAACGCCTCCACTTTTAGATCCTTTGACAAATGGAATGGAAAGACTGGTGGATATGACAGTTCTTATTAAAGTAAAAGGAAAATGTACAACAGATCACATTTCTGCTGCTGGACCTTGGTTAAAATACAGAGGGCATTTAGACAACATCTCAAATAATATGTTTATAGGAGCTGTAAATTCGGAAAATAACGAAATGAATAAGATTAGAAATCAGCGGACGGGTCAATGGGAGGTGTACCCGACGTTGCACGAGATTACAAGGCTAATGACATTAAGTGGTTGCAATCGGTGATGAAAACTATGGAGAAGGTTCATCACGCGAACATGCTGCTCTAGACACGACATCTTGCGGTAGAGCAATCATTGTTAAATCATTTGCCCGCATTCACGAAACAAACTTAAAAAAACAGGGTTTGTTACCTTTGACATTTGCAAATCCAGCCGACTACGATAAGGTATTTCTGGTGAAAAATATTTTACACACAAAATAAGTTATTTCTTTATTTTTATGCTTATAGATTAAACCAGAAAGTAAAATTTCTCTTATCGGGCTAGAAAAGTAGCACCAGGGAAACAAATTGACTGTGAGATTAAAACTGGCGACAAAATTGACAAGATTAAACTAAATCACACTCTAAATGATTTACAAATTGGTTGGTTTAAGGCTGGTAGCGCTCTTACCGCATGAAAGAGCTAGCAAAATTACAAAATCATAACTAAAATCCAATAATTTTTTCTGATGCTGTTTAATACAAATACGATGTCATTATATGCTATTTTAATGGAGATCTGCTGGTGCCTGTATATATTTTGAAGTCAAGTTACTATTTAGTAAATAATACGTTGTTGTTTTAATTTAAGTTTGTTTCTGCTCGCATGAGTTTATTTAATTTGTATTGTAGAACTCATAATTAGGAGCTTGGCCAAATAAATAAAATAACGCAGGTGAACAAATTAGTAATTTATTCAATTACTACGATAATAAATTTTGTAGAAATATATGTAAAAAATTACCACTTGAATCTCTTTGCATTACGGAGCAACAAGTAACGGAAACATGTCCACTTAATTTCATTTCATATTCGCCGTAAATTAGAATATCGAAAGTCATTATATTACATATACGATTGCACCAAAAGTCTAATATTTGGTTAATTTTTACTCGTTTGGCTGTGTTTATTGTAATTCTAATGGCATATAATAATATAAGGTGCGTTCAGCTATGTAATTATTACAGCAGTACCACAGCTGGTTGTATATATGACACTTCGTTACTGATGTGCTGCGGATTATATGTGCAAATTGTGCGCAAAAAGTGTCAGCAGAACGTGATGCTGTATAGTGTTGTTACTACGTGATGCGTACATCATGTGCTGCGAGAACAAAACCAATTTCATCTGAGAAGAGGTCATTTCGCTGAGAGTCCAAATTTAATATTTTGGGATTGGTAATAGTTTTTGTGATAGCACAGTGGACAAAATGTGTATTTAAACATACTAAAACAATATGTGTTGCAATGTGCGAAGCTTTGGTTGTACGCAATCTTTTCCGATATACCAGAACGTCATTGAAAATTTGTGGCAATTTTGGACTTGCGATACGGAAAAGGCCGATTAATAATCTGAACGAACTAAAAACTGCGGTGGTCAAATATTAGCATAATATCCCTAGCGAAACTACCCATTTAAGATGTAATTCCCATTTAAGATGTAATTAAAAGGATTTTATAGTTTTCTATAACTGAGGCAGTGCCCGAAATAAGATGTGATCTTACTTTTTCATTTACATTAAACTATTCCTGAACTAATAACACAATACTCAAAGAGATTACACTGAAGTTCTTGTTTAAATAAAAATCTAATATATAAAAATCTCGTGTCATGGTGTTTGTTGCCAAGCTCTTCCGAACGGCTGTCCAGGTGTGCTATCGGTTAAGTTTGAGAATCGGCCACCATCTATTTTCATATCCCTAAATATTAAGGGTGTCCAGCTAAAAATTACTTTGGACAAAATTTTTTGTTTTTATTTTTTATGACAACTGCGCAGGCATACTATTTGTTATAGTACCGACGACATGTTTCCCGGCCCGATCACAACTGTTGTGGAATAATCACAATGATTTGATGATTTTGGTACAAGGCTGTTCAAAAAGTATCGCGAATTTGTATTTCCTAAGAAAGCTTTATTTATTCGTGAATTTCTATTTTCTATGAAAATATAACTTTTCGATGTGTAGATATGTATCAAATACTAATTACTTATAAAGAATAATTAATTAGCTTAAATATACTTAATTGTCTACAACTCTTTGTTCCTAGAAATAACGTATATGCCAAAACGATATTTGCTGGATCAGCAAGTATACTGTAAGTATATGCCTGATCAGACGACGAGACTAGCTGTAATCCAGGTGACTCTCTCTGTGCAACCGATAACTGACTAAAACTTGAGAAACTTTGCCACAGTGTTCCTTGGCAAAATGGGGGCCGATATGCAGACGGGCGATCGGACTATTGCCACAAATATTTTGGCTCCTCTTTGAAAGTGTTAAAAGGGTGTAATCGGTTATAACCACGTGCGATAACTGGCTAAATAAATACGTCACAAGCATTAAATTTCACTAATAAGATGGTAGGAAGAGAGGATAGGACCTTTAGGTGAAATCTTATAACATCAGGAAGTACTGATCCAATTTCCTCGAAATTCGGAAAATGGGCGAAATCGGAATACAATCTCTTTCTACATTGCAATATTTTTAATAATTTCTTAATATAATCAATTAGTTTGGTAGCTTTTATTACGACGGGAAATGTTTGTTATTCCGGAAAAAATTCAAAAATTTGTGTTTCCAATACAATTACGGCACAGAGTCATTGAGAATGTTGTATAAGTGTTTTGTGAGTCTACTTTGTTATGAATACAATAAATATTTTGAGGGCCGTACAGCATTCAGTGAGGTCATGAAGTCGAGTTCGAGTCGTTCATCCATCTCTGTTAATGGCGAAACCATCGAAAAAGTAAAAAAAAAAATAGTACTTGAAAATCATTGTGATGGCATCAGAGATATGCAAAATATCTCAACATGGACTTTTTCGGTAATACAGTAAAAACTGCCAGCACTGCACAGTTTGCACTGCTGATTGTATGGCCATTGTATAAATAGGCTTATACAATGATGCTGGTGATGCTCTTGAATGAAATTGCTGAAAATGTGCGAAATACTATACTCTCACTGACGAGTTTGATAGCAAAATTGCCGATATATATTAGAAAGAAGCAAAGAGAATGAATCGTGTAAAAAAAAAGAAATTTATTAATTGCGAATAGAATTAAAAAAAACGGATTATTCCAAAAGTGATAGCTTTAGTGCACTTTACACGCCATCTCTTTCTACCATATTCTAAAAAATTAAACAAATTTCACAGATATAATAAAACAATAATATTAAAATATATTAAACATAAATAACATTGTAAGCTAGCATAGTTGGTTTTGGTGTAGTTTTTTGGAGCGATTTACCACATTTTGTAAACGTCAAATAACCAGTGTTGCCATACTAAATATTTTGCAAACGAAGAAAAATAAAATAAAAAGTGAGTGACCTAAGTACAGGAACCATAATTGTAAATCCTTTAGTTTAATTCACTTGATAAACCCGGTGTTGTTGTTGTTGTAGCGGCAGAAATTCTGCAGAGTTGACAAGTCCTTGGTCGGATTAAATCCGGGTCCGTTCGGTTACGTAGACCCGACTGTCGTGGGAACGGATAAACCCCCGTTGTTAGACTGACCAGGGTTATTTTTTTTCAAGCGCGGCCGAAAGCCGCCAACGCAAAAAGAAGTTCTGCGCGAAAAAGCTTTGGTACACCCGTGTTAGATCGACCAGGTATATTTTTTTGAAGTGCGGTCGAAGACTAGGGTTATTTTTTTGAAGCGAAAAAAAATTTTGGTACACATTGGTGTTGGATCGACCAAAATTATTTGTTTGAAGAGCGGCTTGAGTCCGCTAACGTAAACGGAGTTCTACGCGAAAAGCCCTTGGTACACCCCGGTGTTGGACCGACCAGGGGTATTTTTTTTGAACCGGCCGAAAGCCGCCAACGCTAAAAGAAGTTTTAAAAAAAGTAACTTTGTCACAGAGGGTATAAATTATATATACCTTAACATCGTTGCCAATCTAATAGTTTATTTTTATAGGTTTTGGATACCCGTATTGGGTATTATCTGGTTTAATTTCTACGTTCATTTACAAAAGATGTCGATAATGTAACACTGCTTATTTGACATTTTGCAACCCTTTTGTATTGTCAGAATTAAAAGAATTTAACAATCATTTAAATATTGATTAAACTATTTTCGCACTATAATGTAAATAAATGTGTACAACGAATTAGTGAAGTGTTAGTGGATATAAAAGTGAAAAATATAAGTGTATAATCCATTTAAATTTTCAACTTAAAGGTAATATCTCGAAAACTATAAGTTTCACGCGGCTATATCTAGATATATTCTTGATCTGATCTATCCGCTCATACCCATTTTATCCCCGAAAGCCTGGGATGGTGTACTAAAGTTTTCCCAGCATTTCAAAGACAAGCAAAACAATTGATATTGAGGCGATAATAAAGATTTGTATTAAAAAAACAAATTTTTTTTTTGTGGTAGTCGGGGTCAAATTTGTTTAGATGTAGGTAAGTTACAGCGTCTAGGATAGGGATGATGTGATTTTGACAGCTTGTGGCGGCCATATTGCTTATGAATTTGTATCAAATTTTGTCAGTGTATGTATATAGTAATTTTGCTATTTCATCATGTCAAATTTCACTTTGGTAAACTCTGAAATTGTTCAAGGTACGCAAATTCACGTTCTTCGAATATCCGGAAATCCGAAAAATAATTTTCGCAGATGTGGCTCATTTCTGTCTTAATACCTTCGTCAACAACCAAAATTGTCGTTATTGGTGGGTCAAATCCTTGTGTGGTTCAGGAAACGAAATGAAAATTTACCGCTTCGGGCTTTATTTCTTTCGAAATGAGGCAGGAAATGCCGTTATCATCAATTGCGAGCATTAAACCACGCGTTGACCGATTTTTTTCCTGTATTTGATGAAATCGAGTCGGACGATCCCTATTTCCAGTCAAATGGCCGATAAGATCATGGGATTGAACGCCTCTAGAGTATTTTTCTCTGGGTATATTTAATCAAAGATTTTCGCCAATCACCTAGCCACGCTCGCCACGCACTATAGGCGTAATTTGCACCAGGTCACCAAAAGTTTCGTAAATGTCCCTTTTGACTGACATTTTGTACAAATCATATATGGTCATCACTGTTTCACTTCCTAACAGTAAACGCGCACCTCTACCGCTCGAAGTACTTTTTTCATCCACGTAGAGACGTGATTTGCAATGAATGTTAAAAATAAACGATATTGATTAATTAGTGTTTTATTTCTGATATATACAACAGATCTTTTAGGTCACACGCGACCTCTGCCCTAAGAAATTACCGTGTGCCCGCTTGAAGGTTAAAGAGCTTTCTCAGATGTGGCCAATATATTATATTATATTAAATTCAGTTCATATGGTTTGAGTTTATATCACATATAGTAATGCTGGAGTGTGACGAAGTACAACAATGGACTGAAAGTTTACGATAACTATAAACTAAAATGTGTTCAGATTTCTAGCAGCTCACAACGGCTGAAATTTGTAGAATAACGTGTTTTTCAATTAAAATGAGCTAAACTACTTCGTTTTATTCATTTATTTTACATTATATAAATCACATATAGCTTTTACTAATATTTAACTTTTACTTCAATTCTATTTATTTCTACAATAACAAAAACGGTTGCATACTGAAAATAGCCAATGTTACCTTATCGACATCTTTTGTAAATGAACTGAAAGAAAGAAAGAAAACAGATTATATATACCCTAATGGCAGATAATACATAAGACATTATTTTCGCGTAGCAACAATTATCATGTGTCAACATGAAAACTATTTGTT